CACATGATTCTTCAGAAATCATTCTAATATGCTAATATTGCTTCTTATTTTTGGGGGGTTGTTTAATTTATAGAAATTTCAAAAGAATGCCATTTATTTGAAATTGAGATACTTTGTTACATTGCAAACGTTTTACTATTATAGTTGATCAAATTAATGCGTCCTTGCTGCATAAAAGTATTAATTTCTTCATAAAAAAAACACCACCTACCAGACCCAGACTCCACTCCTAAAACGGAGAAGAGAGGGGAAGAGAAAAAAAACTAAAAACTAAACTTGCAGTAAAAATTGTGTTGTAAAGTCACAGAGAAAGCAAGTCTTTCATGATGTCACTGCCACAAATTTTGTCAGAAAGATCAAAACATTATTTTTAAAGGAAGATATGCATAACAGCATAACAGGGTTGAATAGAAAGTGCAGGGACAAAGAAACATTCTATATTTTATCATAATGTACATTAATAATGTACAAAAAATACTTTTGAATTCAATAAAAAATGTGTTGGTAGCATTTGTTTTTGCCTATATTCTTATAAACATAAACAATTAAAGTGTAATAGTGATGAATGAATGGCTAGCTATTTAATTCAAGTGATAGTTTATTACATCTAAATAATACTGAGATTAGTTTCAGTATGTGGCATTTTTCTTATTAATTATATCAACAGCAAGTAATGAGGATGAAAATGCCAGCAATTCTCGATAATGATCCAGACTGGCATTTATGTAGTAAAAAAAAAAAAAAAAAGGAAACAAATATAAATTTCACTTGCATTAATTTATTAAGTGTTCACTGAATACATATCATTTTACAGGGGGAAGTAAGGAAGAAAACAAAGCTTCCTTTTAAGGTTTTACAGTGAAAAGATAACATCCTCAATTGGACTTCTGTAGCTGTATGCAAACTATTTAAAACAGCAGACGGATTTTAAAACCAATAGACTGGTATAAACATTATGAAAATACAAGAAGACCTTCAAATGTCATATGTAGAGTCCACAAAGTATGAATATTTCCAATGCCATGTATGTGTATGAATGGGGTGTACAGTTCTCTTTTACTACTTAAAAAGCTAGAAAATGGATAGGAATATATTATTGATGTTATACAGACACTGCAGACCCTTAAACAGAACACTTACCAAATGCAGAGAGGGGAGTTCACTAGATGCACCGAGACTAAATGCCAGCTAAATTAAGCAGTCAATATAATCATTACTGTTTGCAGATGTATGTCAAGATAATCATATGAGGGGGAAAAAACTAAAACTCTCAGATATCACTGGACCAGGTATATTAAAGTGTCCCCGATGTCCATTTTCAGGCCGTTATCACTCATATGAACTTTGTTTTCTTGCAGGTTGACGTGGAAGACTGAACTGTTTGAGATGGGGATCTTACCCTCCTCTTCCTTCCCCAAAACTGGGATTCTCCGAGGTCCGAGGAGTGGGTCCTCAAAACGCATCAGCTTCACTTTGGATAAATCTACAAATTTCACAACAGCGTTATTTAAAAACAATGGCGACATTAGCATGCAAGTGGCATCAAAGTATTTGGATACTTCAGTTATACTTTCAAATGCGTTTTTTTTTTTTAGCTTATAGCCTTGAATTAAATATCTTAACAGTTTTGTGAAAACCTTGTAACAGTTTCAACTTTGCTAAAATAAACGTAAGTAATCTTTACCCTTGATGCCTCGGTTGACGCGGGATAGTCTGCGGATGATGCTGTCTTTGCTGTCTCCCTGTCGGATGTCAATCCTGGTGGAGAACAGACCGTTGGCTGGCTGAGGGTTCACCAGTGACACTAACACTCCAGACTACGGGAGAAACAGAGGTCACAGCTGAAGATGATGCTACATCATACAGATCATGAGACATGGTTTATGAGACACTTTCTGCTTCATACACAGGATTCGCCAAACCATTTGACCAATATATTTTCAGTGGTCTATGATTATTAGATAAACACAGCTAAAAAATACAGATGAACAGTTCAGATGCAAAAGCCTCTAAGTGCCGTTTGAAATTTTCTTCTAAAATTAGCATTTTTATCAGGCTCCTATGTTTATGGAGTAATGGCTGCTGAAAATTCAGCTTTGCCATCACAGGAATATATTACATTCTTAATTATGTTAAAACAGAAAACAGAACAGAATTTTCAGCATCATTACTCCAGTCTTCAGTGTCACATGATCCTTCAGAAATCATTCTAATATGCTGATTTGCTGCTTAAGAAACATTTCTGATTATTAGCAATGTTGAAAACAGTTACAGAAACTTTGATACAATACCATTTTACACAATTTTATTCAGCAAGGGAACATTAACTTGGTCAAAAGAGACAGGAAAGACATTTATAATGTTAAAAAATATTACTATTTCAAATAAATGGTGTACTTTTTTGACTTTCTATTA